GTGCCTCCTGCAGCACTTTCTTGGCAGGGCTTTCACTAACAGCACATACTGGCTGTCCCATGGGTGGTTATCTGTGTATGTCACTCATCTTCCTACTGGGCTTCTAGCTTCCTGAGGACATGGCCTCTGTGTTTTGTTCATCTTCGCATCCCTTGCAGAACTGAGCTAGACACCTCATATGCCCCTGTTAACAGAATAAATGGATGGATGGGTGGAGGAATGGATAGATGGATAAGTCAATGGTTGAATGACAGATTGGTTGGTGGATGAATGAATAAATGGGTGGTTGGGATGTATAGATGCACGCATGCATGCACAGATGGATGAACAAAAAGATGGATGACTAGAGGAACTGTTCTTTAAAAGGACTCACAAAAGGCTGTGTAGAACCAGGGAGGGACCCCCCACCACCACCGTGCCATGACATGCAGAGGAGAAGACAGTGTACAGGCTGAGCTTCCCTTTACTAACATATGCAGAGAGTTGTCTCCCAGAGCCCTGGGTATATTCCCATTCCCCAGAAGCCACAGTCTGGGAGCTGCTCCTTCCTTCTGGCTCCCCAAACCCTCTGGAATGCCTTCTTTAATGTATTAGTTTGTACTGCCTGCACTGTAACGGCTCTGTGGGTTTCCTTTCTACATCCCTTCTCCTATCTCACACACACCCTAGATTTTTGAGCTCCCTGAAGATAAGAACCACGTATGAATCTCTTGTGTATGCCTAGGGCCTGGCATACATGTTTAATGGGCAAGTGAACAAATGAATAACTGAGCAAATTCTGACTCATATCCCACAGACACACTTTGCACACTTCCCATGTATTCATGTTCAGCCATCTCTCCTAGTCCTTTCCTCCTCACACATATACAAACACTCCTGGCCCTGAATCCCCTAAAGTCCCAAAGTTATTGCCTGATTGTTTCCTTTCCTAATTTGTGGTGATTTAGGGAAGTCCCAGGTCTCTCCTGAGAGTCTGAAAGGGGAGGAGGCACTTGGCTCCTCGAAAGCTACATTAACTGGGCTCCATTTGGAATGAGAATAGGGCTTTCCTGGGAAGAACCTGGGTGTGGGGAGGGTAGTAAGGTCTCGTGGTAACCTGAGGGCTGCTGCCCCAACCTGACCACGCCCTCCTGCGTCTGCTGTCCCTACTCCTGACCTGTGACGCTGTCCCAAGGTGGGGGGTGGTTGTGGCCTTGAGGCTGGCTGGCTGGCAGACACAGCCAGATTTAGAAGTCATTTTCGCAGCAGGGAGCCTCCAGCCTGCCACCCACAGGGCCCTGCAGAGCCAGTCTGAGATATGGCTCATCAAGGACTGGCCCCCAGACCTGCGGTCACTCCTCCCCTTCTCCCCAGTTCTTTAGCAGCTGGTGCTGATTCCACTCTAGGCAAAGGTGGAGGAAATCCTGGGGGATGGGAGCATGTTACATTGACACCCTAACCACCCAAGTGCTCCCAGGATATTATTCACCCATTCAAGTGGCTTGTCTCCACCTCAGGGATTCCCTCTCCTCTCGATCTGGCCTCTGCTGCCTCCTCCTCCTCTTCTCCTACCTCTACTTCTCTCTTCACTATCCTCATGTTCCCATACCCCCAACACTAATGAAATAGCCCCAGAGAGAAATAATAATCGAGACTTAACATTTATATATCACTTACTAGATACCAGGCATTGTTCTCAGTGATTTACATAAGGGTGGCCGGTTGGATTCCCAGTCAGGGCACATGCCCGGATTGTGGGCCAGGTCCCCAGTGAGGGGGCACATGAGAGACAAACACACATTAATGTTTCTCTCCCTCCCTTCCCCTCTTTCTAAAAATAAATAAAAAAATATTTTTAAAAACATAAAAATATCCCAGTTTTATAAAGGACACCAAGACACAGAAAGGTTAAGTAACTTGCCAAAGTCACACAGCTAGTATGAGATAGAGGCAAGATTTAAACCCACGCCTCAGAGTTCTTGTTCTAGAACACAAGAACACCGTAGTTCTCTGACAATGGTAGCAGTGGAGGGAAGCTCTTAGAAACTGGCATCCCGGTGTTCAGCCTCCAAGAGGCTCAGGCAGCATGACAGAGCCCACCTCCAAAGCACCAGCCCCTCCGCTATCCCATGCAGCTTGCCTCGTCTACCAGCTGGCTCCGGAGCCCCGGAGGCCCTGGGCTGTAGCACAGTCCAGGCAGATGCTCACGCCCCTGCCCTGGCCTTCCTCTATCTTCCTCCAGGCCTAAAGCCCATCCTCTCCTCAAGCCCAGAGGTCCAAGGCACACGTTCCTCAGCTGGACCAGGCTCACACCAGCCTGGCCTCGGCTTTCATTCCTGCCTTTATCTTCCACAGCTCCCCTGAATGTACCCTTGGCTCCAGTCCAACCAGAGCATTGGCCCCCATCCACACCTCTTATTTTTCCTGTCCCCTCTACTTGGAACCTCTTTCCCCAAATTCAGTCTCCCTGGTTTGACTCCTTAATGTACTTAATACTCACTGCCTCAATACTGTCATTATTTGTGTGTTTTAACCTTCACTCCATTGTCAGGCAGCCCCCCCCCCCCCCCCCCCCCGTCTCTTTCCTGGAGTCCAGCTCAGTTCCTGGTTCCTCTCAGGTGCTCAGTAAATAAAATGCTCAGTGGTTAGAACCTGTAGTAGACAGAATTGTAGGTGAGGGAGACAGACCTCAGGAACCTTTGATCTCTGTCCAAGGTGACCCCCACTTCCTTTATTTCCTCTACCAGGAACTAACTGGAAACCTGGCAGTGTGGGTTTCAGGCAGTTTCTGGGGTAGACGGGTGGGCGACTCTGACCAACACTCTCCCTTCAGGTTTAGAAGCCCAAAGAGGAACTCCCTCCCCCTCCAATGAACCAAGGCAAGGCAGCGGGCTTAGCGTCCAGTCCCAGGGCCTCCCAGGCCACCCAGCCCCCTCCTCATCCTGCTCAGTCTCTCCGGTGCGGGTGGAGAGTGACCTCGAGATAATTGGAGACCAAAACTATAAGTGGTTTGAGAGCAGCGGGACTGGTGATCTGAACGCTGAGCCGGAGTTGGAGTTGGCGGGACTCGGTGGGGGTGGGGGCAGAGCTCGAGCGGAGGGCCCGGCCAGGGCTCCGAGACTGAGTCTGGGCGAAGCCCCCGCGCCAGCCGGGTTAGCGGCTAAATTTACCCAGGCTGACTCAGCCCTTGCCCGGAATGGGGGGTGGGGGGGAGTGCGCCGGGGCAGTGGGAAGAGCCAATGGGGGTGGGGTGGGGGGCAAGAAAGGGAGAGTCCGGACTGGGGGAGACAGGAGTGGGCAGGGAGTTTCCATCTAAGAAAGGTATTCCTCCCCCCGCACCACACACACACACCGCCCACCGAGCGGGAAGGAGCCGAGGAGCCCTGGGGGAGGAACGCTGTGGGGAAAGGGTCTGTGAAAGGAAGAAGAGGCCAAGGTTGGACAAAGGGAAGCTTAGATTTATTGAGAGCCTACTGTGTGCCAGGCACTGTGCAAGGCCCTTTACATACATTATCTCATTAAATCCTCACAACAACCCTGCGAGGTAGGTGTTTATATACCCCCATTTGACAGATGAGGAAACTGAGGCTCAGGGAAGTGAAGTGGTCTGGCCAAGTTCACATGGCTAGTAAGTAGAGAGGAGGTGTCCAACATCAGAGAGAGAAAAGGACGTCAGTGTCTGCGTCCCAAGCCGCTTGCCGTGGATAAGTACAAAGTGGGGCTCGGCGCGCTCCAGGTCTGGATTGCCAGAGGCCTGCTCCTGACCTCGCACGCCTGGAGGAGGCAAGGCGGGGCACCCCCGCGTGGTAACTAGGGCTCAATTGATTAACTGGCAGTACCCGGGTAGGAGCGACCCGCGGACTAGCTACTGGGGAAATCCGCGACCTGCGCGCGCCCCGTAGTGGCTACAGCGAGTATCACATCCCACACCTACAGGCTTTTGGGGACCAGCCTCCCTCTTGCTTCCTCGGCCTGTTCCTGGAAGAGGCAGAGGTGCAAGAAATTCTCAGAGTTCTTTCAGATGGGTGATACCACCTTGGTGGGAAATCGTGGCAATGATTCAAATCATCGCTAAGAAACACTGGGGAAGAGCAAAGGGGAAGGTCTGAAGAGGTCCCAAGCTGATTTATTGTCTGCCTTCCCTCTCCTGCTCCAACCACCGTCCTTCCCTGCCCTGGGGAGCCCTCACCTAAACCTGAGAGGCTGGGATGGGAGCCCTTGCCTATTTACTCAGCTCTTCTGTAAACCCTGGACAGTCTCTAGTCTCTTGAATTGAGAATGGCTATGGGTGACAATGAAGCCACCCCAGGGACCCTCAGACTCTGTTCATCTATTCCTGACTCTTTCTTGGCTTGTGAAGGGGAGGATGAGATAGATAAAAGCTTCCCCAAAGGTTTCAAAACATCAGGGATGGACGTTAGAACTCCTTCATTTTGCATATAAGGAGGACTGCAGCCGGGAAGTGGCTTGCCTAAGGTGCCCTCGTAAGCCTGTCAGAGCTGGGATTGGAACCTGACTTGTGACTTCAAAGTGAGCCCCCTCCCTGCTTTGCTGGCTGCTTCTGGGCCGCTTCCTCTTCTGCTAAGGGCTGTTCTGTTACCTGTTCACCTCAGTCCAAAGCCTCTCTCTCACTTTCTCCCTCCTGCCCAGAGGCCCTATCCTAAAGTTGCCCTCCCCTGACTATACCATCCCTGTCCTCCTGCCTGCGCTTGTCCAGGCCTCTCTTCTGAACTCTGCACTCAGTGCAGCCACCCCGGCTGAAGACCTCGCTGGAGTGACCTGAAAGGAGCAGGCATTAAAGTCTACTGTTCACCCTCACCTCTCCTAATTTAAAAAACAAAACAAAACAAAACAAAAAAATCCGATTCAGCATATGCTCCCTTTCCTTTCATTTGGGTGGCTTCTATTTGGGTTTGGGAACCTGTACAGGTAAAGGGTGCAAGGAAGTCTGTGAGGAAGAAAGGGGACCATTGGACCCAGGGATGTATGGGTTGGGGAACACAAATACAACAAAGGGCCTCTTACTGCCTCTCCCTATTTCCCTGTGGGGTCCTCTTAGCGTCCCTCTCCCCAAAGAGGACCTCCTCGGTTCGGCTGATGACATCCAGAATCTCTCGGATACCGTCGCCCAGCTGTGCCGTCTTCCGGCCTTCCCGGGGCCCGGCCCGCTCTTTCCGCCAGGAGGCGCCCGAGGCTTCTGTGTCGCTTCCATCAGAAGAGCTGCTGTGGGCGCTGAGCTCCGCAGCTTCATCTGAGTCCGAGTCTGGGGCGGTGTGGCGGCGGATGCGGGACACGGCTTCCCGCAGGGCCCCGGCGTAGGGCCCCGGGGTCCGCGCCCAGCCCCGGCCCGCATGCCGCGGGACCGCCGCCACTTCCCCCGAGCTCTCGGCACTGTTCGCGCCTCCCGAAGTCGCTGGGCCTAAGGCTGGGCGCTGTGGGCTACCTGGCTGCGTGGGAGCGTCCTGAAGGTTTACTTCACCCACCGGGAGCCCCAAGATGCGGGAGGCGCGCTCCTCCAATGAGGAGTCCACGGGCTTCCCGCCCTCAGCTTCAAGCCCGCGCCCCCCATAGGGCTGGTGTGAAAGGCGACTGCTCGACAGCAGCTTCTGGCAAGGGGAGGGAAAGACCGCGGTCCCCTCGCCCTCCTTCCTGTTGGACTTCGGTTGGCTGGACGCATCCCCCACGATGCGTGGCGCCCCAGCGGGCAAAAGCTGCACATGCTGGGTTCGAGGGGTGGGGACATACTGGGACCTTATCACCACGCACGTGGCGTCAATGACAAAGACACCTTCTCCAGCAGCGGTGCCGCGGGAAATTCGGGGCAGGGTGTGGGCGCGGCGGGTTGCCTTCCAACCCTCTGAGATTTCGTGTCCGGCCCCCTCCGTAAGACCCAGGGACTTCCTCCATCCCGTGCCTCCTGGAGCCCAGGGTCTGGGGAGGGTCTGGCTATGTCGGGGCGGCTGCTTTTTAAGGGAGGGAATCCAGCCTTTGGGGAGCCAGCTCTGCTCTCTACCTTCTTTCCCTCCTCCGGAGGCCTTGAGATGGGGCCGGGGCCTGGACCTGGGAGCGGGACGCGGGGGGCTCGGAGCCGCATTTGCAGACCCCGTAGGAGCTGTCGCCTTGCCTGGGCTCCCAGTAGCATCGGCTTGGGGGTGGCCGTCGCTACCACTGTTCAGGCCAGAAGCAGCCAGCCCCAGGCTTTTCTCCACGGCCGCGGCCGCGTTGCGGGGCTCCAGCCTTGACCTGGCTGTTCCACAGCCTGGGGAGCCCCCCAAGAGACCCCGCCCCTGACGGAGACCCCAAGCCCCGAGGACGTCCCGGTAGATCCGAGGATCCAGCCTCTTCTTGGTGCACCCTCCCTCTGTCCTGGCTGGAGTCGGAGCAGGGGCCGATGTGGCAGGCGTCTGGGAGGGCTCGGGGCCTCTTTTAGTCCCCAAAGTCCTGTGGGGGCCTTCATAAGAAGGTGGAGCCACATAGGGTGGCGGCCGGTCCCAGCGGCGTCGTGGCGCCGTCCCGGCAGCGCCTCTCAGCAGCAGGTGAGCCTCGTAGCTGGGGGGCCCTGGCCTGCGACCTCCCCAGGGCCCCACCCAAGCCACCCGCGGGTCGCTCTGCGGCTGCGCCGATGGACGGGGCGGTCGCCCCAAAAGTCCCATGTGTTCGGGCCTACACGGAGCTGGGAGCCCTGCAGGCTGTGCCACCCTGGGGGCGTTCCGAGGCTCCGGGCGAGGCCGACCCGGGGAGCTCCTTCGGGCCCCACCAGCCTTGCGCCTTTTTCTCTCGGTCTCCTTGGCCTCCCGCTCCTGCGATGCCGCTTTCCTTTTCTCTTGCTCCCGGACTCGGGCCTCGGCTGGGGGCCCCGCCCGCCAGTTAGTCGCCTCCTGCAGCACCCTGGAGGCCCAGGGACGGCGGGGGGGCGGCTCAGGGGATCCCGGGCGTGGCCCACACCTGGGACAATGAGCAGGAACCCTGGTGAGCAGTCTGTGGGGGAAGGGAGCCGAGGTCCAGGGAGCTGGGAGCACTGCAGACCACTTTGGGCAGCCGTGTGGAGGTGTGTGTGCGCGTGTGTGTGCACGTGCATATATGTTGGGGCTAAAGTCGAAGCGGGATTCCTCGCCATCTCTCCATGCACACTTTAACAGCGTCTGCCCCATCTCACCCCCTGCCCTTTCTCACACGCACTCCTGTTTCCCCAAACCAGCGCGAGAAAAAGTCAGGCCCCAGCTTTCAGGATGGGTGGGGGTGGGGCGCGTGGGGAAGAGGAGGGGGCCGGCGGGGCCGGCTGGGGCCGGGGGAAGTCCGAACCCGCCCCGCCACTCTACCCCCTCACCCGCCTTCACTCACGTGCGGCTCTGGGGCCCGCGGACCCAGTGGCTGGCCTGGAAGTCCATGGGCTGTCGAGGAGGGGCGCTGCGACTATAATGACAGGAAATAGTCTTCACTTGGATCACCAGCAGCTTGGATTTCTGCACCCAGAGGCAGCTTCCAGACTCCTCATCCTGGAGCTCCCGGGGGCTGTCGGGCCCCTCGGAGAATAGATGGCCATCCAGCATCCTGCCCCACCCCACCCCGGCCCCCCCCCCTCCCACCCGCCCCGAGCGCCCCCTCCCAGCCCAGGAAATCGGCGCCCACTGCAGAGCAGCGGGCCCAGCGACTGGGGACTATATATACCCAGGCACACGTGTATGCCTGTGTGTGTGTGTGTGAGCGCATGTGACATGGCGCGGACGTCTCCGCGCTGCTACCTCCCCCATGTGCAGGGCCGCCCCCTGGGACTGGGGATTGGGCGCCCCGTCCCACTGCTCTTGTCCCCCAAGCCTGATGGGACTTGCACGAGTGGGCAGGGAACTTCTTTTTCTTGCCAAGCTGACAATTCCCCCTCCCCTATTCCCATTTCTTCAACCTTACTGCCATTTTAACCCTTCATTCCCCTCCCTGATAGGGTGCTTGACCACCAGGGTTATGCCCTTGACTTCCTGCCTCGGACTTCAGTTTCTCAGACAGAGAGGTGATGCAAATGGAACTCAAGGTCTCTGCCTGCCACTCTCATTGGTTTCCATGGGGTTGGGGTGCAGGAGGGGCCGGGCCACGGATGGGGGCCTATTTTTAGCGACAGTGGCGTTGGGGTGCAGAGAGGAGATGAGTAACCAGCTTCCATGTGGTGGAGGGAGGAGGCGGTGGCTTTCATGAAGCTTTTGTGTGATTCTGGGCATGGGGAGCTCCCTTCCCCAAGCTCAAAAAGGGCGACCCCCATACCCTTAACTGCAGCCCGGAGCTGCGGGCACAGCAACATGCAGGAGTCTCTTTTGGCCAAGAAAGCTGCCCCGCACTCCCATTCTAGATGTTTGTCCTTGGGCACCCAGGGAGCCCTCTCCCCACTGCATGCTCCCCCACAATCCAGGAGCCAGGATTTGGGGGTCATACTGTTCTGTGCCCACACAGATCTGCATAGCCTTATGGAGGACAGACTAGGGTGCTTTCGCATCTGCACCCTTTCAGAAGGGATGAAGGAGGAATGTTGTGCTTCCTTGGCAAAACCAATGCCCGGGCAACTGAGATGATGAAAGCGGCCCATTTCCTGGCGTAGAGCTCCCCGTCACTGCCACCATAGTGCCCAGCTCACTCAGCCCCACCTGAAGTGGTGCTCAAGATGCTCACCTTTTAGGCGCATCCTGTCCTGGGGAGTTGTTGCTTACAACCACATGATTCCTCCCCCCCCCCCGCCCGCCCCTCAAGCCTATACCAGGTGTCCCCTGATTCACCATGGTAATGTTAGTGGCAACACAGCCCACGCGAACCCTTCCATGCAGAGACTTAGCAACCATGCCTGGCAACCATGGCAGCAGTTCCAGTGGAGGGGAGGGGTGTGGGGAGGTGGGGGAAGAAAATGTGCATGGCAATGGTTCCTGAGGAAGAAGGGGTAATTTGCCTCTCCCGAGTGGAATAGGTGAGAATAGAAAGCTATGAGCCTCCCAAATTTTGTTCCTTGTTCTTTCCTTCTGCTCCATCCTCAGACTCTGAGACTGGTTGGGTTTTAGTGAGGAATGGGAGAAGCGAGAGATCCCAATTTGTTTTCCACTAACATACCTGCAGCCCCCTGGGTATAGACCCTTGCCCAGGAGGGCTCGTTGTGGGGCAGACTGACTTAACTGAGAAACAGAGCAACCAAACTCAGGCCTCCTGCTCCCTAACATGGACTTTTAAAGAGAACCCACACACCCCTATACCGCCCACTGAGCCCCCTTTACACATACCAGCTGCACTGATGGCTCTTTGCTTGAAGGTGCTTCCTTCCACCCAGGCCCCACTAGAGTTCTAAGGCTTTTTAAAGCCCTTGCCTCCTCCCTAGACAAACCCTACTTCATGATGGAATGTGACACAAGGAGGCATCTGTCCTTTCCTCCATGCACTCGCCCACACACACACAAACATACCCTAATTCTAATAACTTGGAATGCCTCCCTCCCTCAAGTCTGGGAATGTGCTATGAGAGCTGTGAAGAGGTGAATGCAGACGCAGGGCTTCTTCAAAGCCATGATGTAGCACTGAAAGTTGCCTCAGTGTGTGTCCGTGTTCCATCAGGAAGCCTGGTTTGCAGGGAGCAGCGTGGAGCGGCCAGGGTCATTAGAGTTCTTAGGCACAGTGCGCGTAGGGGCAAGGTGTTACTCTGAAATTGTTTCTGGTCTTGGTATCCAAGATGGAAATCTTGGTATCTTACCTGTAAGGCAGTGGTGAGATGGTACCCAGAATTTGGTTCTTACTCAACAGTCTAGAGGTCCTTATGCTGTTTGGCGCCAAGCACTGTCTTGGCCTATATGGTCTGAGCACAGGGCAAGGGTCTGTTACGGTGACCAGTTCCGCTGCTCCCCCACCGCTTGCCCGCTTGAGTCTAACTCATTCTTATTTTGGAAGAATCACAAGGGATTTGGAGGTTCAGACATACCAGTTCAGCAAAATCCAAACACAGTCCAGCCTTCTGTTGGTGGCCTGTCTACCTGAAGGAGACACTCTGTCACTGCTCTCTGGAGACCTAACACTGTTATGGAATTTTCCTGGGGTGCCAGCTACAGTCCAGGCAGAGGGCAAAGTGGGGTAATGAGGAGAACTGCAGAGAACAGGGAGGGGGACAGCTATGAACAGAGATTTAGAAAGGTAATTAGTCTAACATAGTGATAAAGAGCATGAGTTCTGGAGACAGACTGCGTTCAAATCCTAGTTCTACTTTTTACTAGCTGTGTGGTTTAGGCTAGTTACTTAACCTCTCTGTACTGTAGTTTCTTTTAAATCTATAAAACTGGCATAACATCTACTATTGTTCTGAGGATTAAGTGAATGAATATATGTAAAGCACTGAGAATGGCAATTGACAGAGTTTTCTATAAAGTGTGCTATTATTGTTGTTATTGAGTTGAAGGAGCCATATGAAATAGGAAGGTTGGTGCAGTAGTGTCTATCAACTACAAAAAGCAAACACTGCAATATCATGAAGAGGTTCCTATCTTTTTAATTACATTTGCCATGAAAAGCAATAACTTCAGCTAACCACTCTACCATCCTCCTCCACCTAACCCCACCTCCCTTCATATGAATATAGCACAGGAACCCAAAGCCCTTCCTCCCCACGGTCCTCTCCATTTCCATTATGGGGAGACATGTCCTAAAATGGACTCAGCCTCCTCCATATAGCATGAAACAGAATGAATAAAAATATTTTTATAAAGAGTTGTGCTATTATCTTAGGGTGGAGGGAGTCAGGGGCAGAGACAGCGGCAAAGGCTGGGTGAGGTCTGAGATCTCTTAGAGATCAGAATTTGTCCAAGGGGCATACAGCCCACAGTTCACCCAGAATGAGGGCTATGTCTAAGAGGACAGGGGTTAGGATGGGCTAGGCTGAAAGTTTTCCTCAAGTGTGTGTGTGAGGATGGGACAGCTAAAAATGCATTCTCCCTCCCTCCTCGACACCTTCTCCAGCTCCCAGGTAGAAGGCTGGGGGTCTCCTGGGCAGGGAACAGAGTCACAATTCTCTCAAGGTTTCATCTGCAGTGCCCAGAGCTTTGTGCAGGCAGTGAGTGGGCATAACCCCTGGTGTCACCTGACCCCTTCCCCTAGTTTAGGGCTTCTCTCCACCTCGGAGCACCAGGGCCTGCAGGATGTCTGACAGTGAGACAATTCCCTTGACCACATCATTCTCATCCACCACTACAAGTCGGTGAACCTGCGGAGAGCAGCAAGGGAGAAAGGGATGTTTAGTGCCAGCTTCAGGGGGGAGCCCTTCAAGCCCCACCCTCCTCGCCAAACCCCCACTGCGAAGGCTGCTCCCCTCAGCTCTTCCTGGGTCGCTGGCCCCGCTACCTCTGCTTCCACCAGCCTGTTGATGATGGTCTCTAGAGTTTCATGCAGGTAGCACTTGAGGACACCCTCAAAGTAATGTGACCGATGTTGCAGGGCTTTGGTCACAGACACATCTAGGTTGTTGTAGGTCTTTTCTGCTGCCAGGTTCTGAGGAGAGAGGGGAAGGTGTTTGCAGAGAAGCACGGGAGCCAGACCCCAAATCCTGTGCCCACCCAACCCCAGAGCGATTGAGGGCAGTTGTCAGTTATGCCCACAAGCCACACTCAGCTCATTCAATTCTTTTCAAATAGGATTTGAAAGCTTGGAAGCTTCTTAAAACCCTTCAGTCCCAGAAGAGACTCTCTTCTTTTCCCTCTCCACATTCAACATGCCACCCCGCTTCCCTACCTCCCAGCCCCTCCACAATCACTCACGATAACATCAAACTTGGAGTAGATGTCCACCACACGCCCTAGGGGGACAGAGGCAGCTCAGCAAGGAGGGTCTGGCATCGAAGACTTTCCCTGCCCATAGAATCACCCTCCCGGCTGAGCTGAGGAGGCAGATTTTCCCAGGGCCACCCAGAGTTCCCTGGAGCCCTCCCTCTTTGTTTGCCCACTCTCTCACCTTTTTCATCCACCACAGGCAGGGCAGAGACTCGGTGCTGCACAAAGATACCCAGGGCCACATAGACAGGGGTGGTAGTGCGGACCACAGCAATGTTTGCATAGGTGCCAATCTGTAGCTCTTCCAGAGACTTAGACATGAACTCTGGCTTGGGGAACTCAGTGATCTGAGAAAGGAACCATCACTTTGATTTTCAAGGTCCCCCATACCACCTTTGGATACCCTTCCAACTGAGTAAAAGAAGTAAAAACTGGGCGGAGGAGCACTTACAAACAATTTGAGGAACTTGAGGATGCGCTTATGGGTGAGGATGTACAGGGTGTTGCCCGATTCTGGGTCAATAACTGGCAGCCTGTGAATCTTGTTTCGAATTAATGAAGAGACAGCATCAAACAAGCTGTGGGAAGGTTGGGGACAATGATAAGTTCCATGGTGCTGGGACTGAGGGTGGTTAAATAGCTCCTTAGAATGTGTATATAAACGGAAAACTGGTGGCTGCGGGAGGGAGGGAAGGGGAGCAAGTGTGCTCGTGTCTGTGTTTGGGAGGAATGTCTTCTCTCTTCTGCCCCTGGGTCTTTGAGTGTCTAGTGCTTTA